ATAAGTCAAGAAGCTCTTCATGCCCAGACCATCGAGCTGAATACCCCTATCAAGAATGCCTGCCAAGTTTTGAAATTTTGATAAGAAACATTGATTCATGAGTACAGTGCTGTTGTGAAAGACAACAGCTGTCAAAACAAAAATGCCATCATATTAGTGTTCAGATGCAAAAAACTAAATTTAACATTAAACCCACTATATGCCATGGCCATACTATATGACATAATATTAAAAGTACAGCCAATGAGAACCAACAATGTAGCTCAAACATTGACCAATTCTAGACTCCTCTGAGTTGTGATAAGATGATTAATAAAATGTCTACTGGTAAGATCTAAGTTTACCACGGCAGCTGGCAACCATAGTTGGGAGTGCAACTACAATTTTAAGAAAGGGATGGGAATTGGATTGCTGATAATACATAATACTCCTTCTCTGCACCATTTCAATACGGCAAATGAATTTCCCCACGTTACTGTTTCTATTGGCATCTCTCATCCTTCCCTGAAGCAGCACAAGATGCAAAAGCAAGTAAATTAAAGCAATCATAAGTTGAAAATTGTTGCCCCTTTTCATGATTAAAAACTGAAAATTTTATTTTCAGGAATTAAACCAGACACCTCAAGAGTTTGATGAAAGTGGGAGATATCATCTGGACCCATTCCAGGAGGGCAGCTGATGTAGAAATATGGTTCAAACCCATGAACATTGCAGCAAACACTGTGTCCTAACAAACAAACAATGATAGATCATATATAATTTTACACTAACTTTTTCAAATAAACACCTGACTAATTCTATTGAAATGGAGATAATTTCTGGGAACTTATATTGATACATGTAATGTAACTGGAAAATCATAACAATAAATATGTTTATATCTTCAAATTCAATAAGACGGTAAGTAGCCACATCTTCAACGGATATGTAAAATAGAACTGTATATCTTCAAAAATTATAGATATCGCCAGTCATATCATTTCCTCACAGTTAGAGTACGCATATGAAATTTTAATAGTATATATAAATCATGATGTTGGGTTTGATTTCAGGCATAAAAATATAGTCAGCACAATTTTGTTAGAGCATCAATTTGCCTTTTTCTGGAGTATCAATCACTTCATATCTGGACTCAAATAAACTATACATGTAGGTTGATAAATCATAATTTGGCAACCAAATGCTGAAGAAAGTAGGTTTACTTCATGTAAATATAGTTTAGTTTACTTTTTAAAATTTTATGAAACTTTGTAGGTTAATTTGCTATTTTATCTAGTGAATGCTTTTAAAAAGATCTTCACGTAAATTTGTTGTTGAGTGGATCATGAACTTAATAAAAAAGGAGTGAAGTCAAATTGGTATTTATCTAAGAAAAAGTGGTTGATCAAAACTGACTAGACTAAACTGAACCAAACCAAACCAGTTGAGCTTGATTCGTTTTAATTCAATTCTCCAATTAAAAGCAAACTTACTGGATATAACAGATACGCTCAGATGCACTTTCAACGTCAGTTAGCGTGTATATTCACACTTTTAGATCGTCATGGATCATTATTTATTTTAACGCTACTAGTTATAACATCTATGTTGGATCCATGTCTTGAGAATTTTCAACATGTTTCCAAGCACACACTATACTATTCACTTCGATGCTTATAATTATTAAACTGATCAACGATTCCATTATCAAGTTGGACATTCATGCTCATACATCGCTATAAACAGATAAATAAATCAGTAATCACTTATTTCCAATTGTCTAAACAACCGAATTTTGCAGTATGGAAGAAAATAGAAACATGCGCTAACCTTCCTTCGTAACTCCAAATATTCTAATAATGGCAGCAGGTCCAGATGAGTTTGGCAACAATTCTTTATGACTCTCTCCGATCACATAATCAATCTCCAGCTGCTGAAAAACTAAAAGCCAGGAAGAGGAATACGAAAGACAAATAAATCAAATCCACTGAGAAAAACCCCAAACCTTAAACCCTAATGTCAAAGGAAAGAGGAAATAACTACGGAAAATGTTAACAGTGCAAATACTCACTGACGCTACGAGATTGTGAGAGGTATTCGGGGGAAAGAGAGGGACGTGTCCATTTGGAAAGACGAGAAGCGAGGGCCTGGCGCTGCTCGATGTCGCGGAGGATGAGGGACTCTTCGTCTTCGGAAACGAGGGTTTCGTCAAGGAACACGTCTTCGTCCACGAAATCTTCTTCCTCTGTCGTCAAGGCCTGCTTCGCTGGTGGAAGTTGCGACGGCGGTGCAGGCCGCTTCCGGTTGGCGTTGGTACTCATCGTAGTTAGAAGAGAGAGAGAGAGGTGTGAGAGTTAGAGTGAGAGTGAGAGAGTGTGATGGTAATGAGATTCCCGCCAATTTTTGTTGAGGAGGTTTGCCTAACGAGGTTTTCCCGCTTGCTTGCGAGACACGTGAGTTTCACCTGATTAGGAGGAATTGGCCTTCCAATCAATAGGAAATAATGAGTCGCGTCGAGATTCCTTCGCTCCCTTCCAAAAATTAATGTGTGGATTTCATTCACGATAGTGTATTTCATACTACTAACTTAAATTTAAGATAGCGGTTAATAAAACAAAATTTAAAATAAACCTCAATGTTTGTAAATAACATTTTATAAATTGACTAAATTATATTTTTATTTTCTAACTTTTTTATTCTTTTAAATTTTAAAAATTTTAATTTGTTCATTTATTTTTTAAATGTGATTTAAATAAGTATTTTTTGTTAATTATAATAACAATTATTTTTGTATTTTTTTGCTAATAATATTTTTTATTTTTTGTTTATTTCTTGTTTGGCTAGTAATATTTATATTAACGAAATTTGTAGTAGCCCTATTTTAATATTCAGGATTATCTTGATTTTTTGCGTCAGCTGTACATGAAGTTAATATATTTGTTGCACTTTTACTTAAGTAAAATTTTTTCGCTTAAGTAAAAGTGAAAGAATAACTAACTGCAGCGTGCAATTATTGCATAGGGTTTCAGTTCCTGTTTTCCTGTTTTAACAATGACGGTGAAAGTCCAAGTACTTATGACGTTATGTGTAACGATTGGTTGCTTTGATGTGGTGTGACTCTGGGAGGTTAGTTCTTTTAAACTATATGTTGCGACGTTGAATGTTACATAAATTGTAGTGCCTAGTGTTCAAAAGATTTTGTGGATGACATGGATGTATGCAAGTGTGGTGATGTGAGTAACATTGTACGTGAAGGGGTGGGTAATATGTGTTTAGTTTGGATGTGGGGGCGTATGCTTGTGGGGCGCAAAGAGTGTGAAGAGAATTCAAATAATTTCTGATTTATGTAGAAATTAGAAGACTGATTATTTTTCTTTTTTAAAAACAGTTTTCTGTTATTTTTAAAAACAAACAATTATTCTTAAAATACTATTTTTATTTGAGTAAATTTACATTCGCTTAATCGAAATTTAAATTTCTTGTTTGAATTATATATAATTTATCTTAAGCAAATTTATAAACAAGTAGACTATAGTATAAATAAGTTTCACTTAAAAAAGCATTAACTACTTGAAGCAAAAATTCAACAAAAACGACAATGTTAACAGCAAAATTATTAAACTTAAAATAAAAAAGTTATATTTTTTTATTTCATTGGATAAATTTTGGTATTTTATCTTTTTTTTAAAAAAACTTTTTTTATGATACAACTAGTTTAATCCTTAATTAATTTTAATTTCATTTTATACCTTATTTACTTTGTTATTTCTTAATATGTAAACATTTGTAAATATATATTCTAACATTACCTAACATATTTATTTTATGATACATTTTGCTTTACTTGTCCGATAGTATTAGAATATATTTTTTTTAACTTTCTTTCAATTTCTACATTATTTCTTAAGCAAACCTTATATTGCTTAAACTATATAATTTTCACTTAAATGAAAATGTATATTCTACTAATATTCTTCTTTGTCCAATTTTTATTTAAGTCAATTATACTCACTCAAGTGAATCTTACTTAGCTTGAGTGAGTTGAGCCTCACTAAAGTAAGTTCAAATGTTTGAGAATGTGTGCTTTTTGTCTATTTTTTATTTAAAGTAAAAAAAAAACTTTAGTATAAGGTAGTTTCACTTAAATAAAAATTTTAAATTTCATCTCAACGGAAAAAAAAGAACTAAGAATATGTTTAATTTAGTTTTTTTTTTAAATTAAAAATTATTTTTAAAAATTAAATCAAACATATTTTAAATATTTAATTTTCACACAAATATTAGAGAGAATTTAGATGTAATAAAAAATACTTATCATTAATGTGAGTGATGTGATAGATATATAATATAATTAACCAAAAATAATTTATTTAAATTAAAATTTAAAAGTTAGAAGAAATTAAAACTTAAAAGTTAACAAAATAAAATAAAAAAATTAAATTAAAAGATCAAAGATATAATTTTGTCTTATAAATTTATATAAATTAAAATCATAAACTGATTAGACCTTTAATCTAAATATAATTTGTTCCGTCGCATCGCAATTTAAAAATATTATCACTAACTTAAAAAAAAAATCAGATTCTGCACTGAAAAACTCAGTAAACTGATCAATTTTTAAGTCATCTTCGACTAAATTCACCTAAACACCTAAAGTTATTTTAATATTAGTTTATAGCTCAATATAGCAAAAAAATTGGGTTGATTATAAGAAAAAAACATTATCCAACTGGAATCAACTTAAAATAGACATTGAATGCTAGTTGTTATGCCTAATTTCAATTTTTCTCTAAACTAAAATTTAATCTTTTTAAAAAAACGTTACAAATGGAATGTCATCTAATTTATATTCTAGTGTCATTTATAAAATGTAAAAAAAAAAAACAAAAAACTCAATAAAAACATATTTATATTAAGGAAAAAATATTTCAACGAAACAGAAAAAATCAATTCACCTACATATAAAAAACCTGAAAATCAATGTCACAAGTCACAAATGAAAAAAAGAAGGTGAAAACACATTAAGTTGTAGATCGGTATTTGAGTATCTTTTTATGGTAATTAGAATGCTTGTGACTATCAAAGGTAGGACTAGTTGCTGGACGATACTCAGTCACTAGCCTTCCTGACTTGAACCGCACCCCACAAGCATTGCACAATGTCTTCGGCCCTTTAGGCCCTTCTCTCCATTGGGGGGTCTCTTCTGCTTGGCAATGACTACACCTCTTTTTAACCCATGTCACTCTCCATTTTGGCTTCTGATAATGTTTCGTCCTTCTTTTCTTCCTTGTAAACCCAACAAAACCTTGCAACAATGATTCAATCCCATCTTTTTTATGATTCAAATTAGGCTCCTTAGTTAGATGCTTTGCTTCAACCTCCTCGTGTTGCTTGTGATTGGCAAAATAGGTTTGGTACCCTGGCAGCAGCCCCACATCATTCAAAGATATAAAATCATCAGGGGAACTTGGAAACCATTCCAATTCCATTTCATGTATTGAATGAGGTGGGACATAAAGTTGGCTCGTTGGCACGTCATTGAAATTGCTTAGGCCTAACCAACTAGAATATTCTTTCTCTATGTTATTCGAAATAAGATCTTGAAGGTCTCCAATATCCAAGTTGCCATCATCCACAGCCATTAGGAATGCTATTGTCTAAGTAGAGAATAAACAACTTAATAGGAATAAGGGGAAGCGGAGTGAAAATAAATATATGCAGGAGATTGAAGGAAATGAGTTAATTACTAATCTAATGAAAATTGAGGAGTTATCAATACGAAGACGTGCGTTTGCTTCGTAAATAAGTATGTCATATGACTCATATGACCATAACATATAAATAAAACCGACTTTAGCGTGATACACAGAAAGTCTATACCCCCTTCATGATTTAACGCGTACCTGACGAGGTAGTTCAATGGATGCGCATTTTGATTGGCTAAAGTGACAGAATACTAGAACCCAAAAGAAAGGAATCGATTGTCTGTATTTGACTAGGAATTATCGCAAATAATTAATCAAACGATAAATAATTCAATTTTTGTGCAAATTATCTTTAAGAATTTCGGATGACTAGGTTTCGAGAGTAGATTCAAATTAAATATTTTGTAATTTGATCATAATTGCAATTAAATATTTATATTATAGGACTCTCTGTTACTCTTGTTTTTAGAAAAGGAAAAATGCATAGACATTTTTGTTTCTTTGCTAGTGGAGCAAATTAAGATTTTAATTAGGTATTTTCGTAAAACTTTTCTTAACGTAGCTATTAAACTAAAAGTCCAAACGCGTAGGTTGCTGTCCATGAGCTGTTATAAAGACCTTTTTTTCTTAATTAGCAAAGAAAAGAAAGATATGTTCCTTAGCATAAAGGGAAACTCATTGCATGCAAATATAGATATCCCGTATCCCCCAGTCAGAGGTGTCATATTTCTGGAAACATTCAAAATGTTCAACTCATATATATTAGCTCATACAAATTTTTAATTTATTTTCTGAATCCAATTAAAGCTACAACATATATTCTCAATCCAATTAAAGGCAAATATATATATATATATATATATAAAAGATTCTTGCACACACATGTATTGACATTCTCTCCTAAGTGCAAAATAATGTCGCTTTGTATGAAAAAGAAAATTTAAGGGAAAAATAATCTGTCACGTTATTTTATGAGTAAGCTTTATTTTAAAAAAAATTGTTAGTTGCAAAATTTAAAACTTTTTCGTAAAATTTCAAATAATTAAGAGCATTTCAATTTAAAAATAAAAAAAACAAATGAAGATGTACAAATTATTAACGATATTTTGAGTTTGAATTTATTTTAGTTTGATGAATTTAATATGTTGATTTTTAATGTAAAATATTATAAAAATTAAATTTAAAATGCAATCTTAATAAATATAACATGTTAGAACACATTTGTTAGAAAAAACAAAATTGGAAAGTGGGTGGCTTGCATAAGCCCATCACATGTGAGACCAAACCTAGTCTGGCATTTTAAAGACTCAAATAATTTTACACTTTTGAACCCAAATTAAATAAGTTAATTAAACTTAATTTGGATAAGTAAATTACTTATGTCAAAATAATTCAAATTAATCTTTTAGAATGGTAGCAATAGAAGAAGAAGATGGATAAATGAAATCTTAAAAATAAAAAATAAAATATCTAATAATGACAATCTTAAAAATTAAAATATTTAATAAATGATAACGTTAAATACTAAAATAAAATAAAGATATATATTATATTATTATTTTTATCATATAATTAATTATACAATTTATTTAATATGACATGTAACATTTTGTCATTGTCTATTAAATGTGTCTAAATATAAAGATTAAACTGTTTAATAAAGATAAAAGTTAGATACTGATATGATATTTTTAAGATTTTAAATAGTAAAATATATGGCGTTTTTTAGAGACTAAAATAAAGGTAGAGTTTAATCTTTCTGTAGATCTTTTAAATATTTTTATTCTTTCATTTTTTTCTATCATAATTCATGATAAGGGCAATAAACATATACACGTCGCTATTTATGAAATTATTAACTCATCAAGAAATAGAAGGAAACCAAAAATTCATTTGCCTCACACACGCAATGGGGCTTGTAAATCGTCATCGATCAATCTGCATGAGTGCTTCCCCTATCCTTGTTAAATCTCATTGAATACTTTACTAGCAATCATATTAAATATAAGTTCAGTCCGATGATGAACAATATACAAACAAGCAAAAGGAAACAACATAAACGTGTGTGCTAGGCTTTCTAGCAAATCATAGAACATATATTCCAAAGTAAAAAAATTACAAAATTTATGAATATCAACAATATGGTAGAAGTAGTTCTCTCTCCATGAGGTTTTTTTGCCGTACTGAGTCTTTTGAATGATAAACTTTGATGTATCACTTGAACTAACTACATTTGTAATGCCAACGATATTTTGAATAACAGAATTTTATTTTTATTAAAAAAATAATTATTAAAAACTGAAAGAGAGAGAAGTTCCAATGAAAGATATCCCGTTTATCTTCAATATTCACTGTTGTTTGTTGTTGTACATATATACCATGTGTATTCTAATGAAGGTGTATAAAGGTTGGTGAGGACTAGAGACTGCTACAAGGATTAAATGCAAAACTTGTTTTCAAGATGATGTAAATGTACCACACAGTGCAACAACATCAACCACGTACATGAGGAGACATGGATGATTGCAAGTTTAAAACCCCAGCATGGTAAATGTCTTATGAACAAAAAGAAGTTATCATCTTTAAAATTAAGAAGTACATTTGATACACATATATTCATTAAAAATAAAAGTAAATTGTATACAAAATCTTACATACAATATCAAATTTTATGTATTTAAATATTATAATTGAGCCGACATGAAGGGATTCAAATTTTGAGAGAACAACTTGCCCCCAAAAGTATGAGCCAAATCCCAAAAAAATTAGATCAAGGGGCCATTGATTTTGACAATGGCCTTTCACTCTCACGCGAGGCAACAGATAATATCCTGTCTATACTATCATTTGCTCTAACATTTGAATCCCTCAGTGCATTTACATCACCCCCATGTCCTAATCTCCCTTTGCCATCTCCACCATCGCCAACACTAATTCTACATCCACAACATCGTGAGAAGATTCGGTATAAGAAGGTTAAAAGCCAAAAAGCCCACGGTAGACAAACCAATGTGACCCCAAGATCAGGTATCCAATATGCAACTTGTGATTCAGGAAGTACCATGTATGCTGCTAGGCACCCTCCTCCAGCGAGGAGAGATACGAACAAAATACACGTAATGATCCATATGTAGGTGCGCCCGAAACTAGGATTACCTATAGGCATTTGTGTCTTCTCAGCACAAGTTGTAGAATGTGATCAAATATGTGACCCTGGATCAATATTTCCTCTATCATCGTTCATTTTAATGTGTAATTTTGTATGGATAAAGATTGGCATGGCAAAGGTAGAGAAGGTTCCATTTGGAGAGGTGGATTAATTTTCCAGTTTCTTCTTTTGATGTATGAGAACTGAAAATTAAAGCCACAAAATGGGAATTTTGATCAGATGGTAGACATGTACAATAGTTGTGCACCTAGGATGTGGTTAATGTAAAACAAATAAAGAGAGGGGCAAGCAGATTCCATTTATGGTGGGGTATGCGCGTTAGAGGTTGGACTCGTTTGAGTTGGTTTGAATTTGGTACATGTGTGCGTAAGGGATTCTGTTGTTGTATATGTAATGTAGGGTGATTATATTGAAGTATATTTATTTTAAGAATAATTTAAAAGGTTAAATATAAATGGAAACGAATACACTGCTTAATAGTATAAAGAAGATGAAAAAAAAAAAGTTAAAACGAGGAAAAATTATGATTACTTTGATTAATAAAAAATAAATTTGTGAATAAGTTACATGTCTTAAATACCTTTTATTTTATCCACGTTTCCTATGTTGCACATGATAGAGTATGATGTCCACAAATGGACGAAAAGGGTAAAATGGGTAACATCATTTCTTTTCCACAGTGAGAGAGTTCTTGTTCATTGCTCCTTCGACACAGACTTATCTTAAAATAGTAAAACCACTCTACTTTATACCATTATTTTTAAAAGATAAAAATAAATGAGAAGTTATCGAATAATTAAAGAAAAATTACCGTTGTGAACGTGTAGTTGAAAATTTATATTTGTATAAATAGTTTATAAAATTAAAATTGTTTGACAAACTAACTAATTTGTTTTAAATAATTTAAAATAATATGTAAAATTATATTAATATAATAGTAAAATTAAATATTACATATTTTATTTATTTATTATCAATTAAATAATTATATAAAAAATAAAAATTTTCTTTGTATATATTTAAACATAAAATATTCTAAGTCATATATATCTTTTAATATAAAATATAAATATAAAAAAGAAAAAAAACTAAGATTATCATAAAAGCTAATTAATAATATATGGTAACTTTGTACTTTATTTTAACTTAATTGTATTACAGATAAGTTATTTTTTAATAAAAAAATGTAATAAAAATAATAGTACAAACTCTTTTTAGTTTATATTTACTAAATATCTCTAGAAATCAATAAACTATAAATTGTTTGTAACAAAGTTTAAGACTGTATTTGTTAAAATAATTTGAAAGTTTAGAGCTTACAAGTTCTAGCTGTGAAGTTAGCTAAAAACTTATAATTAACTGATTTGTATTAAATAACTTAAAGTGATATATAATATTATATTAATATAAAAACAGTTATTATAAAAACATAAAATATTCTAACTTATGTTTTTTTAATATAAAATACATTTAGATAAAAAAAATTAATATAAAAAATGTAAAAAATAGAAAAAAAAATAGACAGTAATAAAAGTAAAAAAAATAAAAGACAATAAAATTAACGGACGTAAAGTTTTAATTATAAAAAGATAATTTTTTTTAAAAAAAATAATAATGTAATAAAAATATTGATAATTAACTTTTAAAAGTTAAATGTTATTTTAGATAAAACATACAAACTCTTTTCATGTACTAGACAACTTTAACCACGTCAATAAGCTATAATCTCCTAGAGAAACTATAAATTTCATTCATCAATCATAATCTAAGTATTTTAATTATACTAAAAATTTAGTGAATAAAAATATGCCAAAGCATATTTGTTGAAGAATATTTAGATGAAACCATAGTATAGTTTTCTTTCTAACCACGTAACCTCAAAACTCACAAATCAATTGATGGGTTATTTTCTTAATTATCAACCCCTTTTCTATCCATCCTTGTTCCTTCCTTCTTTTTTCAATCATATTTTATTAACATTTGTTAAAATTTAATTTTAATGCAATCCGTTAAACTTTTACTTACCTTTCGTCATATATTTAAAACAATTATATTATTGTTATTATAGTCAAAATTTTGTTTAATAGTAAGATACTACATTATCAAATGATAATAGACAAAATTATACTGATACTATATCAAAATTAAATATATTAATAGAAAAATAAAACAGTGCATATAGACATGAACGGCAATTATATTTGATGTGCTAGAAATTTAGAGCTTTTAATTTTGCAAAAACTCTTTGTAAACTTCATGGGCTAGTATTTGACGAATATTAAGCAACTGACATTTTGCATATCAACATTTTGAAGCAACTATAAAACCGACCCTTACTAATTTTTTAGATTGTAACAAGTTAGTGACAAAAGACTGACAAAGGAAATGAACTTGGCTCTGATTGAGTGTCAAAGCAAAAGATACTTGGATAGGAAATTGTTAATTTACTTTAAAAATTACTACAAGGATACCTCGAATCTGATCTAACTAAACTGTTAAAATCATGAGAAATTTAATTTTTTTCTCGTAGAGGAGTTGTGGTGTATATTTCTTGATTCATATGAGTTCATAGCTGAGTGACAACTAATCTATAGAGTAAATAAACAGTCCAAAGGATTGGTCTGTGTTTCAAGAGCCAAATATACACTTGCATAGTTGTTGACATTTCTATGAGTTCAATTGTGATGATCAAACGCTTTCTTCACGAACGATCAATGCGTGTCTTTTAACAAGGGAAGAACTACTCGTTACGAAGGAATATGTACGAAGTTAAAAAATATCATTCCAAATAAATATTTGCTAGTTATTACCTTTGCTCCTGAATAAAAGACCCTTTTGGAGAATTTGTTATTGTCCTTTATATAAGACGCTTTGCTAGTTATTGCTTGCATTAATTGTTTTTTCACAAAAAAAAATAAAATATGCTCCAATAGTTTTAAGAATAGTTTTGAAAAAAACATTTAAATTGTTGATAAATGTCTTATATTTAAGAGTTTTATTAGGGTCGAGTTTAAACATTTAAAAGTAAACAAAATTTATTGAAAAATGACATTTATCTTAATGAAATCATAGAAATATAATGAATGCTTCTCTTTTCAACAAAATTTTACTATTATATTAATTGTTTATCTTCAAATTTTTAGAATTGAAGCTAGCATTTTTCCATATTTAGAACTATAGATAGTATATTCTTGTTATTGGTGATTATCTTTTTCATGTTAATTATCCTTTTCTCCTTTAACAATAGCTGCCAGATATCTAGTGTATTCATTGGAGGATCTAATTAGAAGGTCTTTTGGAACTTATCATTGCATCACTATCGTTAGAAACACCAACTGCCATTTCCTATACTAAATATCCAATTAAAATTAATTTAATTTCAGTTTTGGGATCATAGTTACCTGTTAGAAACTGCACTTAAAAAAATTACGGTGTGAAATGAGAATTCTGAAGATAAATTAAAATAATAATAAATGGTGATAGATTATGCGATAATTTTTTATTTTATTTTATCAAAGTCAATAACTTAAGGCCAGTTTTGTCTTAAAATTAAATACAATTAATTTTAAACTGTTAAACATAATAAAAATATATTTTAATCGAAAATTTAAAATTAAAATATTGCCAACGTAACACCTACAGCTAATAAAGTTAAATTAAATGTGAATCCATAACTAGTTAGACCTAAAACCAAACACACACTTGGCCAATGTCGACAATTAGATGATGAGTCTAACCACAAAATAGGATTAAGCCAAGACATATCTTACATTTACACGGCTTTATAGATATACTACTAAAATATTTGCATATATAATTATAGATTCTAAATCCAACGAAAGTTACTTTTAATCTTTACAGTTCAGCTTTATTCACACCAAAGAAGGAAAATAGTTTTTAGTTCAGAAAACAAAAGAGCACGCCTTGTCTTGACGACGACAAGACCACGCTCTGGATGTGACACCAAGCGACTCAGAAGTGGTCGTTCTCTCATTGGGGAATATATACTCTTCATTTCTGTTTTCAAATTTACACATTAGCCCGTTAGAATTTGCTCCAAAAAGCCCAAACGCTCACCAACACGAGTTCTACAGTTAAAACCTTTCCGAAGAACACGAATTGAGATATAGCTACAAAGTCAAGGAGGGGGCTGAACTTTTTGGACCTCTCTTCCAAGACCCAATTTGCGTTGCCGTAGAATTTTGGAAATCTAACCTAAGAAAAACAAAATATTATATGAAACAAACATTTGATTCCAATATGGTATGGTGATGAACTGGTTAGTCAAAACTTGAAGAGCGACTCCATCTTCCCTGCAAATAGTCCTCTAACGAAACACTCTGCTCAGTGCTACTGATAGAAACCGCATCATCCTCCAAGTCCAGCAAAGCAAGGTTCAGGTGAGACTGAATATTAGTTGGCGCTGGTTCCTCATCAAACTCATCGAGTTCCTGTGGTACACTAACTTCTTGTTCTGCCCATCTTGTCACTTCTTCATCACCAAGCAGAAGTTTCAATATCTGCATTATTGAAAACGCGTGACTCATTTTCGAAAGGGCATAAAAGGCAGGGCAACCAGAATGAAGTAAATTTGCACAGGCAAAATACTTACAAGGCTGATTTGAGGTCGCAATGTAGGTACCCGTCTAAGGCAGAGAGTAGCAGCCAAAGTCATTCTCTTGATCTGGCAATCATTGTATTCACTGCCCAGGCTTGAATCAAGCAACTGGGAAAGTTTCCCACCTTTCAAAATTGGTGTTGCCTGGATAAAGTCATTAATCGCATTGATTTCCAACTCTTAGGATATAGTACTTGCAGGATGTTCAGTTCTTATATTGGTACATCTTACATTTATTTATTATACAGTGTTGTAACAATCTTAGATTCTGAATTTATAATGGTGAGAAAAACTTACCCACATAACAAGACTCTCCAGGCCCTTCGGACTCTCATTGTTAATGGGCTTCCTATTTGAGAGAAGCTCAAGGAGTACAACACCAAAAGCATATACATCAATTTTATCAGTCACTCTACCGTGCATGAAGTACTCAGGAGCTAGGTATCTGCCAAATAAAACCTATCCGTGAAAATGGGAAGCAAAGGTAAACAAGCCAAAGGAGGAACAAGTGGGATGTTGCTCACCCAAAAGTTCCGGCCACATCAGTACAAGTTATATAGGAAGAAGACGAACCCCAACTAGCCAGACCAAAATCTGAGAGCTGAAGAAATAAGCACATGGCTTAAAGGAGTAAGTATAACTGAAATCAAATGGAAAAGAGTTTCAAAGGGTAACAGCACCTAGCCAAGCAAGGGAAGAAAATATATTACAGCACCTGAGGCTCAAAATCATGTGAAAGGAGGATATTTGAAGATTTCACATCCCTATGGATCACAGCCTGTTCACAACCATTATGGAGATAATCCAACGCCTCAGCTACACCCACAGCCACCTGGTACCTTTCTTGCCAACCAAATGCACTACAGTCCTTTTTATTGCCTTTTCCAGAAAGCACAAGTAAGAAAGACAAATTAGAGAATGAATACATTTCTGTAATCCCTAACAGAAAAGGCAAATAAATATCTACCATGAAGGTTTTCTTCTAGGCTTCCCCTTGATAAAAAATCATAAACTAGTAGTAAATGATTGCCCTCTAAACAAAAGCCAGATATAGATATTATGTTCTTGTGATGCAGAGTTGTAATGATCTCAATTTCCTGTACAAACTCTTTCAGCACATTTTCAGATGGCTTCAAAATTTTCACAGCTAATTCCTTGCCATCCGGAAGACATCCTCTGTAAACATAACTACTACCACCTTTGCCAACCAAATTTTCTGAAAATACAATTAAAAAAAAAAAAAAAACCCTATCAGAAGATATCCCAATCAAGTAACCAGAATAAAAACTAGGAAACAAAAGTTGGAGTGACCAAAGCTAACCAGGTGAGAAGTTGGCAGTTGCAGATACAAGTTCCTGCAAACTATATAACCTGCAAGAAGATGAATACTTCTCCTGTAATACCAACAATTCTTCTGGAAGGCTAATCAAGTCACTGCAAAGGGAGGGAGGAGTAAAGATAGTAGCAGATCCAAATGGCACAATGGCACCACTCTCCCCATCCAGGGGGGAATAATCAATCTGCTCAATACAAATTTGTTTATGATCTGGATGGACTACAGCCGAAGAATGACAATGGGGCTGCCGTAATGCCCGATGAAAAACAAATGTATTTTTCAATGAAGATTTGGGGCTATGCTTTTTCGAATGAAATACCTGGCGAAGGATCGACCAACCAGGTTTTGAAGGTTTCGAATCACCCACCACAACTGAATAACAAGGAGCATCATCAAGTTTTTGAAATGGTACCAAAGCAAGTGCGTTTCCCTTTTCAAGATCATCAGGCGAACCTTGCTCATACTCAGTTCCAGATGTCTCTTGCAGTGAACAACTTTCACAACTCCTCACATTTTTATCTGTACAAGCCACCAACGGTTCTGGAGATACGTTTGGACCTTCATGTAATTTTTCTGCCATAACAGTGAAACTCTGCATCATTCTCATTCTTTTCTTAAATTTTCTAAGCAAATATTCAACAAACGCACATCACAAAAAATATAAAAAAAACATTTCATAAATAAAGCATTATTATATCCAGACCAAACTAAAAACAGTAATGCCCTAAGGAAAACAAACGCAGAAAGCGAAGGGGAAAAGTAAAACCTCGATCACTACATAAGCCAGTAGCTTCTCTGTGAAAAGAAATTTTGCCATTATCAACAGCGAAAACAGAGATGCACTTGGGCAATTTCTTCGCGCAGTATTTGGCAACCCACGCCGAAGAACGAATAGTGTGATGAGACTTAGAAGTTCCCAAAATCACCGTCGAAACGCCAAACGATTTCGCCTCTTGCACCAGACCCTTCCGAACTGAACCACCACGACACACTTTAAGCCTTAGACCAACCTGAAGAACAAGCACAAAACTATCACGGAGTTTCCAAACTGAAATTTCAGCAACGGCATATTTATTTTCCGCCGTTTTCTAGGCATCGAAACAAACAAGTGGCCAAACCGCAAAAACAGCGACGAAACGATAACGAACCTGCTTTAAATTGCAGAAGCCTTCGTAAACCGCGAGAACAGAATCGAAAGTCTTCACTAGAGATAGAAGCGACGCTGTGCCCTCTGCAACAGAAAATCAGATTCTAGATTAAACATAACGTTCCAAACGCAAACACAAAACTAGAGAGAGAGAGAGACCAGTGATGGTGTCGAGGACGTGAAGTGCAATGACAAGGTCACCGGGCTCTGCAACCTTGACGAGTGCCCACGTCAGCAATTCCCGGCTCCGAGGATCTAATTTCACTCCGACCAACACTTTCCGACCACCGCCTCCGTCGCCGATTAACTTCATCGGAAGACTCACTCTGTTCTCTTTCTCTTCTCTCTCTCTTACTCACTTTCTCTCTCTTCGTGTTGGTGCTTTATCTTGGGAATTGCGAGAGGGAGAGAACGAATCGTGCTCGAGAACCGTAATGGCGAAACTGTCTTAGGGAAATATTACGGTGCTTCTCGGTTGAGGTGGAAATGTGGACTCGATCTGTTCCGTTGGTTGTGCAGTCCTTGATCGTAGTTCTCTGTGTACAAGTCACGTCAACTATCAATTATCGAGATCTCAATGGACCGTTGCTGACGTGTCAAATGCTGAATCATCGACAGAGTGATAGCATGTTGTAAGACCCATGCAATTACTGTAGACGGTACAGTCCCGCCTCTGAAAAAGACTGCTTTGAAGGGGTTGATTCCTTCACAGTAAATGCATGCTCGATTTATAATGTTTTATATTTATTTATTTTATAAATAAGCTATATTAATAACGGTAATTGAAGCCTTTTTTTGTTTATTGCTAGTTATTCATCTTATCTATATATATTTGGAAAGAAACATAAAAAAAATATTAAAAAATTTTTAAAGAAAGGAGATTTTATGATAATTTAGAAGAAAAAAAAATCATTATCGAGTCTTGCTAGATATTGTAACATATTTAAGAGTAAATTTAAAACAATTTATATATTTAATTTATTATTCTAATACATTTTTTATGTTATTAAGCCTCTTTGTATATAATTTAATAAAATATTTTTAAAATTTATATTAATAATAAATTGTATTATCTAATTTATAATATAAATCTTTATATAATAAAATATTTAGTAAATAAATATTTAATCAAACTATTATTTTTAAATACATCTTTAGTGTCAAACTTTTTTTTAAAACATTGATCAATCACTCTTCGTTAAAAGCTAGCCCAATCAAAGAAATATTTGTTAGTTTTCAAAAGTATTAAGATATTATTAATTGTTTTTATTAATTATGAATTTAAATTTAAATAAAATAATAATGGATTAACAATAGTAATAAATGATATAATAGTTTAATAAAAATAAGAATATTAAATATATTTCTTAGTTTTTATGTTAAAATGTTAAAGTGATAAATAAAAAAAAATATTTATTTATTTAAATGTGAGGGACCATATTTATTATTATATTTTAAATTTACATTTTTTTGCTAATAAAATTTGCATTTTTAATTCTTAAATATCTAATATGCTAATTATAATTAAGAGAAAAATAACAATAAATATCGTATTAAAAATGAAAAACATTTTTAACATAGAATAAAAGTTAATTAAATTAATTAATATAAAAATTGGATAATACTGTAAAATTAACCCATTTAATAGAAAATCATTGTGCTGATCGTCATTTAAGTGTGATTATCTTTAGATAATTTCAGAACATGATGCGCCGAATCAAAGTTTAAAATAAAATAAAACATAACAACGATTCAAATTGTGTTAATATTTTCAACAAGAGTGGTTTTACATGGTACCAAAAGCTTTTGCCCAAAATTTGTAAGGAAGAGTTTTTTACATCTTATTAGTTAAACGATAAATTAAAAAACTGAAACAGGGTAATGATATTGAGCAGTTTTGGTCAAAATATATGCACTATTTGACATTTTGCTTTTAATAAACTAAATGGTGCTGAAAGCCTGAAATTAAAATTTGGGACCTCAGGGGTTGTCTTAATCTCCAAACATTTCAAAGCATGGAACCTTGAAAAAATCACAATATTAATAAACGTACGTATGAATGGGCTTTACTCATTAGTTGGCATGTTACATGTTCTGATGTTGGCAAAGATGTTGTGTGGCCGAATATACAATTATGTGACAAATAACAATAATAATGTTAGAGGTCAAGTCATTCAAAGGAAACTTTAATACGGGGTCCACATTTATTTAGAATGATTGTGCTTCCTTGTCCACAAACGCACACCGTTGAGGGTTAATTTAGCAAATGTATATGATGATGGTGAACCACTATTTTTTATATTGTTTTCACGCCGATTAATAATATAAGATCTTAGATTAACGGTATGGGTTGTTTATTTAACATATTAATAATTAACTATTGTATTGGTAATTCATTATCAAATAATACACTTTTTCATTATAAATTTACGATTTTGCAAACTTTTAAAAGCGATGGTGTTTTATCAAAAAATAATTATTATATTAAAAATATACCATTTATAAATAGTTAAACTCAATTTTTAATTCTTGTGCGCCACGTTTCTTCATAATTGAACGAAAATATGCTAAGGTGTGTGTTTATTGTTCTATCCAAATGCGCATGAGTTACACGATTTTCTGAGAACTAAATTTCCGAAGTGTCAATATATAGACAACATTGAGGTGCAGTAGTATTATCATTGTTAGATTTTTAATTAAAATTAAATTTTTTATTATAATAATTTGTATAATAAATATTCACAATAAATATTAGTATACTAATATTAAAAACCAACAGTATTACTTAAATAAAATTTTAATAAAATAATAATAACAATAATAGTATCAAAATATGCATCGACAAAAGGTCAACACTAAAGTTATTAATTTGTTGAAAATAAAATTTATGTAAAATATTATGAATATTTTTTTATATTAATTTTAATTAAAATAATTTTTTTACTTTACTGCATATGTTCACTTTTAATATTAAAATTTATTGTATGAATTACTAAAATAAAATTTTAATTTTAACTAAAGAATAGTATCTAAAACACTTGTGACACCGTACCTAAAGTTTTTCTTCTATAAAATTAGGCGATTGCTGCGTAGGTGGTCCTCCTCAAGAATTCTCATATGTCTTCTAGCAAATTCAAGCTGTTTGAATTGTAGGCGAAAATTGTCGTGAAACATATACAATTTTCACAAAAATTTATGTTACATCATAAAATAAAATAAAACTAACCATATAGCCAAAATGTTACGTGCATATCAAGAAATAAGGCGTGGGAAAAAATGTGGGGATGTTAATTTGGTGACGAAAAAGAATATACCATTCCAATCAAAAGAGAGATGTGACTACAAAAAGAAGTGTTAAGCAATGAGCACACCAATTTTTTGTTAATAGGAAAAAGGGACCCATGTAATACTAGCCGTTCCAAAAGCAAACAAAAGCCATACAAGTGTATGGGAAACCAGAGATTGCTTATGGAGTCAGAGATACCCTCAAAATCAAAAGTTTTATTCTTTTCCCCACCCAAGCTATAATATTTGAGTATTCAGTTCCAATTATGCTAAATTAGCGGTTGCTGAGAACTTACGAATGAGTTTACGAGTAAATCACAACAACAAAATTTTTATTATGTAAATTTAGGAGTATTTAATAACAAAAATAACGAACATGCAAAATCTCAAGTTAAATGGAAGAATGTAACTCTTGATAACCTTTCCGTGAACTCATTCATCATGAAAAAGCTTTTTTCATAAATATATTGATGATTATGTTAATGTAACGATTAAAATAATTATACATTTTAATTATTTTTATTAAGTATTTTTATCTTGAATTTGAAATACTATTACACTCATCTTTATAGAAATTAAAAGGAATAACATAGAATGAATTTAATAATTATTTGTTATTTTTGAAGGATGATTTGACAATGATTTATGAAAAAATTAATACATTCAATCTTCTAAAAAAGAATTTAAGATTATATTCTGATAAAAAATAGTCGGACTAACGGTAGGGCTGAACACAAAGGCATTTCATTAAATAAGAGGGGGTTGGGCGGACACTGTCCTTATCACGGGACTACAACGGAGAAATGCCAATGCTCCGCTTTTGTATTTTAGTTACCACTCAAGCCCAGAAAGAGAATTAGGTAAAAGATCTTTATAGCTTAGTTATCAAATCAAACTTTATTTACTTAACCAGCAGCTTCAAAAACTGAGGTTTGTCAGAGCTTGCATCAATCAACTTTCAATAAAAATTTCAATAGTTGCATTTCATGAAAATTGTAGTCATCTATATTCATTAAACTTCCATAAAAACAGCATGCATTGAGAATTCAGAAAAAAAAATATTATTTTATAATATTTGTTAGTCTGCAGGTTAGAAAATTTTTAATTATAAAAGTTTACATGACTTTATTATAATACTGATAATTGTTCATGTAACATTTGAAAATCAAGCTTTATAATAAATATTCTTTTCTATTGGCAGATATTTATATTTCCCGTACTTCATATTTACAATGCATACACAGAGACACGACATGATACATTTTCAATGGCGTGAATAGTAATAAGATTAATAAAAACCTAAAACGTAGTACCGAAGAGCTAAGTATGCAAAGTTGATAAGGAAACGCATAAGCATACTTATAAAAGATATTTTAATGTCTAAATTACGTTGTTTGAGTAAATTTACAGGTAAGTTTTTGTAAAAGAAAAAAATATATAAAAATGAATATTTTTTATCAGATAAAAATAGTTTTAAAAAAATAAAAAATATAATCCCAAATTACAATAAAAATAGACCAGTCGTATGCCACGTCACATGCATCCATACATTCCGAATAACAGGGCGGGGGTGAGGTTACCTTTGTAATTCCATTTTGCCAACAGAGACGACGTTCCTTTCAAGCCAGTTTCCTAATTCCTTCTTACGGAACTACTCAAATTTGGGTTAATTTTTATGATGGAAATAAAATAAGGTGAACTCTGTATTTATTTATTTCACGTGTTAGAAGTACGCACATGGAGGCTGATATTATTTGTCCCCTATGAACTTGGCTAAACCATCTACATCTGAATTTGTACCTTAAAAAATTTGTACCTAACCTGGGTAGTGGAGGGTTTCATTTGATGCCTTCTCCCTACCTTGAAATTCCATGCAACACTGTTGAAATCATGTTTATTAATAATAAAAAGCAAGGGAACCTTTAATTCACAGCATACAAAAAGGTAAAGGAATATTTAAAATACTCTAAAAAGAACATATGGGAAAGACTTTTTTAGCTTTCTGGTTGAAAATGATGCTACCCACTACCTTTGGCAGTATGGTCGAAATTGCACTCCATGAAGCCGAAGGGTATTACTTTTCGGGCTGGAGAATAAGCTATAATTTAATCTTTGTCTCTCAGTTACCTCATTTCAAGAATAATTATCTGTACGACCC